TTTCAGACCAATCCGCCGATAAAAAACGGAGATGCCAAATTTCCGCCATTTTGAACTTTGACTGGCCGCCATTTTGTCAAAAATCAACATTTTGACCTGCGGTTTGCGCCAAAATTTTTTTTTTTTTTATTATCTTTCGAATGAGGTATCAAAGAGGGGGGGTTGCCATTTGAAAAAAAAAAGTTATCCCCCGCCCCCCTTAGGGGGGGGGCCGCCCCCCAAAATTTTGGGGGGACCAAAAAGTTGCTACTTTAGACCCAGGAACATTCCCAAAGTTTCAAACTTCTATCTCAATTTGGAAAAAAGTTACAGGGGTGGTCAGTGACTTTTGGATAACCCTGTATATTGGTGGCTCCGTGTCAAATTTAATGATTTCCAAAGCCCTTTAATTTTTCCTTTTACATTTTGAGCTTTTACTGTGCTGTCAGCGAGGTGTACGCGCAACCAAACGCTCAACATTTGACGTATTTGACTCTAAAAGATCGATGTACAAATGGGTTAAAACTAAAGATTGCGTGCTTCTTGGTTTTTTTTCCTCTTTTATTCATTTTTGCAGTTTCTCATCAATTTCTCATTTCCACATCGTCAATATAATTTTACATACCGACTAAAATATAACGCTTGGACCAAGCCACTGTTGCTTATTTTACGTGTGGGCGTAAACTACTGGACAAAAAAGGTGCGCGGACAAAAAATCGTGGATAAAATGTCCTGAAACCCTGTTCCTGAGATAAACTTGCGAGAAAAATTGTCCTTATATGTTACTCTAAACCTTTTATGATAACTTAGAAATATTTGAGAGAAAATCGGTGAGGATTCTTGCATGTTGGTAATACTGGTTTTTATCCATCTGAACACAATACAAAGCAATCGATCGATGAGGCCGACTGTCTCACCAATGATCTATGTATCATAGATTTACAGGGAGGAATGCAGCCGTGTTAGCGAAGAAAACAGTAAGCGATGAAGGAAGTTTCGAGAAAACGAGTTCAGAAGCGCCCGACCGGAGCATTTTTTCGAGAGAAGCCTCGGTTCTTTGTCAAATTGCCACTTAATCATCCGAAAGACTCATAGAAATCGTTGGGATGATGAAAAATCAACCTATTTTATTTCAATTAAATGAAAAGGTTATTGTTCATTTTCGTGAAAGGCTATAGCGACTATAGTATAGCCGTAAGTGCTATCTACTGCATGCTGTCGAGGTTGCGTTTTGGACACACAACAAACACATTTTCAGGCCAGAAATTGGCAGAAAAGGGCGGGCACTTCACTTGAAAGAACTGTTTTTATTTGCTTTCTGGAGGAATAATGTCACTTACGGTTGTTTTTCCTGAAACTACGTCATTTTTAAGCACCTACGGCTTTCTCTTATGTCTCATTTCTATACAATGCAGATGATTTAGGCTGTTTCAGCCAATTCACTGATTTAATGTAAAATAGATTAGATGCATTTTGAAGAAAAATCGATTTCAAAAATGTGACACTTATTGCTCTCTATCACGGCAAGGTTGCCCTATCTTGAAAAAATCGCCATCGAAGAAAATAAAGAAAATACGCAGTACAATCTTTGAAGATGCAACTATATTTTAACTCGCAAGATTCATTTGTGCCGTTCAAATGAAGGCAAATCATGTCTGTTGCTCACCCAGCACTCGAATATAAATTTTGCGTGCACCACTTATAATTCTATTATTTCACTGATTGGGCCAAAGACAAAACATTTTCTACAAAACTCGCCCTGCGATATCATACCTTGAAGTGTATAAAAGTTAAATTTTGGAAGTCTACGATTAGATTTTTTATGACTGAAGAGTTGAGTAATCGGTTTAGCAATACTAGCTTAATTTGCAAAACTCACTTGACACAATTCTTACCCCCACACTCATCCGCTATTATCAGATGAATTTTTCCTTTAATTTTTGCTAATAATTAACAAGTTGCTCATCAATTATCATTAGGTTAGTGAGAAATAGCGTTGCATGGCCTCCGAGCTTCACTGCTGCCTCACCCAATCAAATCGTCCGGATTTTTGGTGCAAGGCCTCTGAAATGTATTCTTTCTGTATGGAAAACTAGACAAGGTACAAAGTTAAGCATTCTTATACATGTTTCTTAACCAATATTTAACGTAAAACACGATTCGTGCAAAGAAAATTATTGGTACTGACTCCTAACTAAGATATTTAATGTTTCCTGACTCGTAAATTCACACCGCCCGCTCATGAAAACTCAATGCTCTACGTGAGGCAAACCGCGCACTAAACGTTAACCGTAGAAGTATCTAGGGCATAAAAATGTGAGAATCTCGATTCGGTGCTTTGGCGGAACTGTTGCACGTTGCTAACACTTTGAACAACACAAGACAGGGAGGGAACAATAATGCTCGATTAAAAAGCCCGACACTACCATTGCAGTGCGCGATTTGACTCACGTACAGCTTTGAGTTTCTTGTGAGTTGGCAGTTCAAATTTTCCGTAGCCAATGTAAAATAAAAACGTTCATATCTTTGTTAAGAGTTGGTTTCAGTAATAATCGTCTCGCAAATCGTGTTCTGCGTGGAAGTTTGGTTCGGAAACATGTATCAGAATGGTTAACTTTGTACCTTGTCTGGTGGTCCATTCCATGAACATCGTTTTGAGGTTGTATTTTTTGATGAATGCCTTTTTTATTTGTTCCATGATATAGCCCGCTGTGATTTCCTCAGTCATGTCAGATCGATATTGTATATCCACAAATGGCACCTCCAAGGAGAGGTTCTCTCAGGAGATGCTTTTGGGGTGTGCTGGACTCTGTACCAGTGACCCTTTTATATTCACTACTTGGTCTTATGCAAGAGATTATGGAGTCGCAACCGGTGGAATACATGGATCAGGCAAGGTGTGTATCCAAACAGCACAAAGAAGCATGTGTTCCCTTATTCCGAAAAGAATATCACAGGCGCCATATATGTCAATTTTGCATGAGACCTAAAAAACTGAGTTGCGTCAGCTGAAAGTGTTAATTCATCTTGAATTTTGACACCTATGAGTAGAATATGTTTTTAAGAAATGATTTATTTAACGTCTAGTAAAAAAAATAATTTTCACCCAGCAAATTGGCGCTTGTGATCCTGTGCTCTGAGCAGAGGCGATTCAGTTGAAAATTGGCAACGCCGTTTTTTCTCCGTTTAAATATATATTAAACAATCGATTCTTGATGAGGCAGCTTGCCTCATCTACGCCAAAAAAAAGGATGCCGACTTAACATTCTGGATGTTAAAAAGTGTGTGACAACTCACAAAACGCCGAGTTAACCGCCTTTAGCAGTTACGATGGCAATGCTAAGATGTAAAACCAACTGCTGTGGCGATTAAATCAGCGTTTCGTGAGTTGTCGCTCACTTTTTTACATCCAGAATGTTAAGTCAGCATCCTTTTTCCCGGTGTATAATTGACATGTTCAATGGATTCAAATGGAGGAAAAATAAAGTAACCAGCTTGAAAAATCGACATGGGTTCTGATAGGATTTTATGAGCATACTTACGGATGCATCAAGTATTACGCATGCTTTTTGGTTCTTGTCATGCTTGCGTTTGCACCTTAATTTTAAAAAGTTAAAATTGACCAAAAAAGTAAGAGAAGGGGTCACCGTACCTCTTACCAATACTAAACTTTGATCCTTTGATACTTTTCTTCAGACATGACACTTGTGATCCGCTTTTTTCTCGACTCACAGTATCGAATAATCTAAAGCGAGTGGAAAATTTGTATTATCATTACATAAGCTCTCTCATCCTCTAAATTTTCATTTTTCGTCACAGTGTGCCCTACCGTCCTACTCAGCCGATTTCCATGATTAAAAGGCTATCAACAGGTAATATTCACTAGAAAAAAACGCACCTTGTTTAAATGATGAGGTAAAGATGTAGATTCTCCTATTGAACCTACGGAAATAAGTTTCATTATTCGGCTGAGTTTGCTCTAAAGTTCTACGGAGCGGATTATGATGAATTTTGACCACCGATGGGGGTCAGTCCACAAATGAGCCAGTTCTAAGGTTACTCAAAGGAGGCCCCCTTGAGGGATTGGACCGAGCAGCGGTCAGGAGGCGTATAGCCTCTTAGTTTTTAAAAATAAATTGAAATAAGGAAATATATCCGACGATTTCGGAACTATCAATACCTCAATTTCGGTAAGAAAAGAAAAAAAAGAAGAAGAAAAAAAAAGGCTCTGGTGATATTTTTTTCTGGAGAGGAGGAATCAATAAAAAAAAGGCCAGTCATATAATCGGGCAACCATATTTCTAGACCTTTATATTGCTGGTTTAGAGGCTCCAAATGAAGGTGAAACTGTAAAACACGCATTTCAATCACAAATTTACGACGTTACGACATTTTGATTTAAAAAATTTACATTCTACTGCGGTCTTCTTGCAGTTAGGTTTGGTTTGATTATATGGCTCGGAGAATAGGACGTTGTATGAATCGAGTAGAGCGGACTATATTGACCGCGTTTAGCAAAGAGGAACTAAGCCAAATCAGCTATTGCCAAATTTAACTGAGAAATATAATTCTTTATAGGAGAACGTCTGTGCGGATTCCATTAAGTGTTTTAAAGAATTTGCATCGTGCTATGCAGACAATAGAGATATTGCATGTGTGAGGAATTTGCACAACCGGCTTCATGTTAAAAAATTAAAACTCTCGATTAAATTTGGCAGTAGACGAAATGACTTGGTTCCTTTCTGCTTAACGCTGCCCATGTAAAGCTCCGTAGGTTCGATATTTGTCTCTCGGTACAGGTACGTTAAATTTTCCATTCAAAATGCTTGTCCTCAAATAGCAAATAATGTAATTTGAATGTCTAATCTGTTTTTAGCCTGTGTAATTTACTTTAATTCTATTCTATTCTATTCTATTCTATTCTATTCTATTCTAATTCTATTATTCTAGGGGTGCGTGCCATTCACATATCCTGGTTGCGATCACAAATCTAATTATGATGATGTCGAAGACTTTGTTGGCCGTAGTGCGAAAAACATCAGCGAGTGCAAGGGACAACTTATATTCGACCACGATTGTCCCAACAAATGCACAAACGAGAAACACAAAACACCAATTGACAAAGATCGGAAACGATGTAGGTATTCCAGGGATAAAAGGGCCCTCTTTCATATTTACATTTCATTTTCAAGTATCACATTACTTGTTAAAGTATGAAAGGACGCATCACGAATCTTAAAAAATTTGAAACCAAATGAACATAATTTCTTAAGCTTTTTCCCAACTTTTCGTATTCATAGTCAGAACTTCTTATTCTTCTTTCTACGAACGACTAGGGCATAGCCCTGTTCGTCAGGCCATCCAGTATCGAGCACAAACAATTATACACATATTCAAAATCTAAAAATCACTGAAAATAAAGGACTCGTCAAATCAATAAAAACAGCAATAAAATCTTCAATCATCCTCAAAAGAGGAGAGCCAGCTTTGCGCCCATCTCATACTCAGAACATTCTGTGAAATTTTTATTCAGTAAGGTCATATTCTCTAAAGAATGAAAAACAGTGGCGTGGCGTGCTTTGCGATACATCGATTGATCTGCCATTTGAACCCATGGAAAAGGATCGATAATTTAGGTGTTCGCAACGAACGCCTTAGTAATCGATGCTTTGCCATAGCTTCAAATGGGGAAATATCCATAATCGATCATTCACGCCTCACCACTGATGAAAAATGAAGCATAAGCGGAGATTTTGAAACGTTGCATTAGATATGTCAGCAATCATCGTCTCTTCATGAACGCTGTGCGTGCTAACTCGTAAAATTGTGACAATCCACGAAGCCGCTTCGGCATAGTAAGGGTTTCATTGATAAAAAGCTTCGAGTATACGATCTCGCCTTGAAGCGCCTTCAAATCTCGGTGATACACTTTTCCTTACCAGGCTGGTGGTTTAGTTGCCTATCCGAACCAAACTCAACCAAGCCCACTGATTGAACGACACCCTCTCGAGAATGTGCCAGCTGATTCCAGAAGAAGGAAAACATCCCTTTAAATTGGAAGCATAACAGTACTTTCCATCCTGTTTCTTTACTTCGGAATATTTGCATTTTTTACTCAAAACAGAATGCTAATAGCCTAAAATAGATATATGTGTTAATGAAAAAAACCATCCATATGCTGCCTGTTCTCTCCATTCAAAACACACGTTTGTCATATGACAATTTTGCCTTGAAACATTTGATGGCGGGCTCTCACATATTTCGACGGTGAAAGTCGGCAATCACATAACTCGTTTGCGGTGTCTGAAAATCTCCGCCTCTACATCATTTTTTTAAAGGAGAACAAATTGATATTATTTCTTGAAGTTTTTGCAGAATTTTCTTCGCATTGAGAAGAAAAATCATGACAGTTTTAAAGAATTGCCGTTGAGTAGTTTTCCATTTATAAAATAAAGTATGACAGGAAGTCTGCGACGTCGCAAATCGAGTTATGTGATTGCCGACTTTCACCGTCGATTTGTTATTTTTAGCCTAAAGAAATGGTGGTAGACACATGTAACGAAAAGCATTGTTATCTTCTGCCAAGAACATACTCATTTTTTTAAAATGGGATGCACCAGGCTAATATCACCTGAGTACGGACCTTAACAATATGATGCTCGGAGATCGCTCATAGCCCCGAGGATGAGGGTCGGAAGTGAATATATATTTCGTCGAAAAAAATCTCCTTATTGCTAGATATCAAGAATGTGTAATATCCCGAAAGTGAAACCAAAAAATACTTCCTCACTTGATGATTTAGAATGAAAAAGGCTGCACATTGAATCATCCAGATATTATAATTTTTAAGGATGAACTTTGTAACTTGGATTTTTGATGGTTGTTTTCGATAACAAGGATCTTTAAAAAATTTCGATTACTCGCGTAATTTCACAGAAGGTTCAAATCGTTCATCTTAGGATTAGTCATGGTCATACTTTTTTCAGTCACAATCACATCATCTGTGAAGAGTATAAACCCACCCGCAACTTGTGCAATTTATCACCCCTCACCGTCAAACACTTGATGATGGTTTATTTTACCCTTAAGGTGATTCGATGGACGCCATATTTTGTGTCAAAACGGCATGTGATATATTGCATCAATTGGTTCCATTTTTCAGCTACTCGTCATTTTTCTCTAATTTTGAGATCGCAATTCTGTTGTCAGGAGACTAAAGCACTCACCAATTTTAACAAAGAAATTCAAAGTAATAAAGGAGTGGTTTTTTCAGATAGAAAACATTGCATTCGATACTGATACCGAAACTGCACTCGAATGCGATGTTTTCTCTCTGAAAAAACCACTCCTTTATTACGTTGAATTTCTTTGTTAAAATTGGTAAGTGAGTGCTTTAGTCTCCTGAGAACAGAATTGCGATCTCAAAATTGGAGAAAAATGACGAGTAGCTGAAAAAATGGAACCAATTGATGCGATATATCGCATGCCGTTCTGACGCAAAATATGGCGTCCATCGAATTATCTTAAGAAGAAATCGCCGGTTGGTAAGAATATACGCTCCGTTACTATTCGACCTCATCTAGAAATGTAGATGTAGTTATTGGCATTCAACTGTCTCGGTGAACTTTCGTTTTTCATCTTCAGCACATTCTTTCATTCATCAAGCCTCATCTCATTGATATATTTTAGAATACATTATTGTTCCTCTTTGTATAATTACGATTTTGCAGTGACAGCTTTTTATATGACGTCAACAAATGAGTTCAGTATACGGAATGAGATCCTGGCGTACGGTCCGGTTGTGACGAGTGTAGTGTTGTTCAGCGATTTCTTGGAAAAACCAGTTGGTAAGTTCTTAAAAGACATCAATTTTACGGTGTAGTACTCTTAAAGAATATGAAAATTGAATGAACGAGAGTGGGTATAAAGTACCTCTCAAATTAGAAGGAGAAAGATAGAGATGTTGACACTATGTCATTACCATCGGTGCTTGTTTCTATGGAACCAAAATATTTTGAACGCAAACAGAACGATTTTGGCAGAGAGCATACTTCTAACTACTCTCTACTGTAACGGAGAGAATATGCTCTTCTTGAGTTTCTCTCTCTCTCTCTCTTGTAATGAGTATTTTACTTTCAGAGAAACAAGCATCGATGGTATGACGTAAATTCAGCACTTCTTTCTGGAAATTGTATGGTCTGATGTTCTCTTAACAATTCAGGGAACGTTTCACTGATTAAATACGTGAGGCTCACAACATTTCGGCGTGTTAGATCCTTAAAACATACTTTTTAAAGATTTATTTTACAAACATACGTGTGTCAAGAATTCCACCGGAAGATGCATCGTTTAGAGAAATTCCTCCAACTATTGTGTGACAATGAGTCAGCTTATGGAATTTTCGAAAAAAAAAAAAATAAATAAAAAATTACAGAGTAATGCACTGGAGTAAAAGGATATTTGGGTCCTTAAAATACCAATTTATCGTAGAGCCCCAAAAAGATGAGAATATATCGACGGTGTAAGTCGGCAATCACATAACTCGTTTGCGGTGTCTGAAAATCTCCGCCTCTATTAAATTATTTTAAAGGAGAACAAATTGACATCATTCCTTGAAGTTTATGCAGAATTTTCTTCGCACAGAGAAGAAAAATCACGGCAGTTTTAAAGAATTACCGTTGAGTAGTTTTCCGTCTTAAAAATAAAGTATGACAGGAATAGTCTGCGACGCGCGGTGGAGGGTTTCTTTTCTTCGACAAAATGGCAATGAAAAGTGAAATAGTTAGGAATGTTCTCATTTTCAGCTTTTCCAACTTTAATCCTAAAATTTTTATTTGAGGTTATGTTCTATTGCAGCCAAACGAAACATCGAACCACTTTCGACTGCGATCTATTGTGTGCATAGTGCTGCACTGATACAATTAAATTATCACATGCGTTTATGTTCAATACAGGAATTTTCCACGCGACGTACCCACGGAAGCTCTTAGCTTTTGACAAGTTCTTCAAGATCATCGGCTGGGGTAAAGAAGGGAGAAGATACCAAGAAGAGAAGTACTGGCTCTGCGTGAATACGTGGGACACATGGGGCGACAAAATTTTCAAAATTCCAAGGGGGCGCAATTACGATTTCGTAGAGTCCACGTTGACTGCCGGTGTTTTTGATGATATCGACTGAGGGATAAAGGATCCCTTTACCTCATCCGAGTCGATATTGCCATTTAGAGTGAACATTCAATTTCTGCCACTTCGATAATGGGTCGCTTACTCGTACACTAGTTTCAGAAACTCGATTTGATGCTTTCACTGTTTAATAAAGAAAAAAAAAGAAAGAAAAAAGAAAAAAAAAGAAAAAAAAAGAAAAAAAAATATCAATCCACCCAAGCGCCTGGTTTCCCAGTCAAAAATAAACGGAGCCATCGCTCTTTGAAAAACACAGTTTATGATGTCACTGACCACGTCAGCGCGTATAACATGTTTTTTCCCCACCTTGTACGTACTAATTAGTGGTATACACACATTTCATGCATATCATACATCACTTTTAATAAATAAAGAGATCAAGCGACCAGTGAAGTCGCCTGCCTGAAAGAAACCATGATATTTTCGCGGTGGATGACATCGTCTCATCTTCACTGATCAAAATCGTGAAATCATCAAAACACAACTCTGTGATGAGCACAATTGACCCATTGGTCGCACACTAGAATGTATTAAACTGCGTTTTAGTTTCAGTGTATTTCGGCTTTTTGTGTATTTCACGCCGATTTTCAACATGTATATTGTATACTGGACATAGATGGCTGAAGAGAGGTCACTAACGAAAATAAATCCTGAGACAATAACTTCAAGATTTTTTCAAAGAATATGTTTGTATAAAACTCTTAAATTCTCGAGTCCAAATTTTTCATGTAAAATATCTACTTTAAAAAAAAAACTATGTACATTGATTTGTGGTCATCTATTTTGAATGCATTGATCTGCATCATAAAGCATTATCAACTGACTGTCTTTTGATTGCGCTCCCGGGACTGTTTTGTTATAGTTTCTCTTTAGACTAAATTTCCCACTAATAAACCGTTTTTTCTGGTTCAATTCAGAAACGACAGGCTAGGGTGTTCCGTTTTTAGACAACCATCTCAAAACCTTGCTCCCCGGGCTTTTTCCCATTCCTTTTGGTCCCCAAAAGATAATTCTGAAGTTTCAGCACCATAGCTGAAGTCTTGGAAGAAATTACATTATTGGTTTAAATGGGGAGAAAATAGGCAAATTCCCGGAACTACGTTTTTCGGTTGTAAAATGCGCCGAAATGATTTCAGACCTGACCATCTCTTGGAATGTGGTCCAGAGGCCTATTTTGAACGAGAAAATTCCACTTTTGACCCAAAGAGGGGGGAGGGGGGGGGTCAGGGCGCAGTTAGTTTTGAGGCGCTGCGCGCAGCAAAATGCTCGCATTTGACAGTTTTTGATCAACCTCAGAACAGGTCCTCCGAAGCTGAGGAGGCTAATGTATCTCATAAATTGTAATAAAATAATGTAAAAGAGTTGTTTTCATCCCTTCAGAACTATTTTCGACCATTTACACTGTTGCCAAATTTACTCGAACCTGGAAGGGAATTAGTGTATATCATCTTCTTCACTTGAGTGATTTTGGCAACAGTGTAAATGGTCGAAAATAGTTCTGAAGGGATGAAAACAACTCTTTTACATTATTTTATTACAATTTATGAGATGCATTAGCCTCCTCAGCTTCGGAGGACCTGTTCTGAGGTTGATCAAAAACTGTCAAATGCGAGCATTTTGCTGCGCGCAGCGCCTCAAAACTAACTGCGCCCTGACCCCCCCCTCCCCCCTCTTTGGGTCAAAAGTGGAATTTTCTCGTTCAAAATAGGCCTCTGGACCACTTTCCAAGAGATGGTCAGGTCTGAAATCATTTCGGCGCATTTTACAACCGAAAAACGTAGTTCCGGGAATTTGCCTATTTTCTCCCCATTTAAACCAATAATGTAATTTCTTCCAAAATTTGCATCGCTTTGGGGGAAAGTGTAGACTTTGGTGCTATGGTGCTGAAACTTCAGAATTATCTTTTGGGGACCAAAAGGAATGGGAAAAAGCCCGGGGAGCAAGGTTTTGAGATGGTTGTCTGAAAACGGAACACCCTAACGACAGGCGCCCTTAAAAATTTCCTCAAGTTTCCTTCGGCAGATAGAAGCTCTTACGAAAGAGCCAGAAATAGTGCCCTTTTATTGTGAAATGAAGTCCATTTAATCCTGTTGTTATCAAGGCTCGAACCGGTCTTTAAAGACTCTAAAACATACGGATATCTTCTATCTTAACGGATATCTTCTGACAAAATTTTTGAAAATCCTTTAAAGTTGAAAATGTATTACTCATGACCGATTGCGGGTCCCATATTCGTAAAACATGCCTGTAATAGTATAATTAACACATAGCAGTATCCTTACAAATGCATGTCATCATACAAGGAAAAAAGCAATCTCAGTGCATGAAGACACATTTTTCAGGGGCGTGATATTTAACATTTTTCTTTTTTCATTTTTCTTAAAGGAAGAATTGTAATTTATTTTTTTATGGAACATTCTCTTTTGAATCTTGAGAAAATAGCTTATCAGCAGTGTAAAAAAATTTTTCTACTTTTTTAAGGTTGCCACCTGCTTCGCTGTCATGACTGTGAAATTTGCTTCCTCATTTTTTTAAACTGACCGCGTGCAATACCGCCAGCCGATGTGGTTCGACGTATTAATCATCCTTGAAGTGGGACACCGCCGTTGTTGACAAAATTTACTAACGTTTTTTTTAAGAAATCGAGGAAAATGGGTCTCTAGTCTGACGGCAATCGATTTAAGCCGTTGCGTGAGAATTTCAAGTAACATAAAATCAGCAACAGAAAGTGCATTCGGAGGCGGATCCAGCAATTTGGCAACACTGGATTCCCTCCATTTGAACCTATGTTAAATAATCGATTCTTGTCGGAGCGCTTGGCCCCTCCGAGGATCGATACATGTCCATAGGTTTAATTGGAGAAATGACAATGTTGCCAATTTGCTGGATCCACCAATGAGTGCATTTTTACTATGATATAATACTTATGCTCCGCTCAATTACATCCGATAGTGTTTGGATTATGTCTTCACAGCTCGTATTTTCAACATGATTTAAAATTTTGACGGAAAGATGACATAAGTGGCTTCCGTCGATCGCAACGTGATTCATCTTTTATTTCTAAATAAGATAGGATTAAGATAGGAGGCTCTTGAGATACGGAAAAAACATCACTTGGAAGTTATAGGCAGAAATTCGTTTGGACACTTGCGGTTGGAACGTCCACGGTAGGCAAGTTTTCTTTAATTTTAGGTGTAGGTGCCAATCAAGGATATTGTGACACTGTGGAGACTGTTTGTGGATGGTAAGTTTTGTTTCATGGGAACTTAGATGATAGATTTTCTTATACCCTTATTCATAAATGTTCCAGCTATTAGAAAGTAGCTCTAGAAAAAGTGAACTTGACGTGGTGGAGAAATCAATGGGAATAAGCACTTTAGCTAAAAATGATAAAAATTGACGAGGCCGCGTCATTGTATTGATATTTGTTACAATGCATAATTTGAAAACTATACGACAAAGGGTCTTGTCTAGAAAGTATTACTTCCCCACACAGTAAAGAACACAGAAATTGGCTCAGTATTATCACCTCCGGATTTATCTTTGACCAAAAATAAAAAATCGAAGAAGACAGAGAGTGATGAGAATTATAATACAATTGGCTGGAATTTATTACATATTTAGGTTTGATCTTTAAAAAATATCAGATTTAACCGATGAGCTTATTTTTGCTTCATCCAAATCGTACAGGACCCCNGGACCCCCCCCCCCGTAAAGAATTCTTAGCTACGCCACTGGTACAGTTTACTCACCTAATCCAAAAGCGACATTGAAATGACAGTAAAAATAAATTGCATACTAAAGTGATCGTATTTAACCGCAAATTTATTTGTATTTTCTTTTTTTCTTTTTTACAAAAACCGAATAAATAATGCCTTAAAACTTTCCGTGAATTTTCCTTCGCTCATAGAGAATATAATCACTCAATTTCAAGTAAGAGTATGATACCTATAGTTCGCATGTGGAATATGGAGCATGAGAGAAAACCAGGCAACGTCTCACATATCGATGGTGAAACTACCAAACCACGTATCTCGTTTGCGGTGTTTAAAAATCTACGCTCACATTTTATTTTTTTGAAGTAGACCAAATCAATATCATTCCTTGAAATTTTCACAGAATTTTCTCCGCACGAAGAGGAAAAATCACAGATTTTTTCAAGACTGGACGTTAAGTAGTTTTTCATTTAAAAAATAAAGTATGACAGGAAGTCTGCGACGTCGCAAACCGAGATACGTGGTTTGGTAGTTTCACCGTCGATATGTAATTGACCTAATATTGATTAAATCCGCCCATTTAGGAAAAATTGGCTGCGATAGACTTTAGGCGAATTTTTTTCAAGTGGATCTGGTTGAAGTATTTAACTTCCTGCCGACATCCGTTACAACAAAACGAAATTCCCTCCGGGTGACGCGAAGGCGCGCCCTCAGAATTTGGTTCTCATGCTGGTAGCAAGGACGACTAAATCCAAAATTCTCCCAAAATTTTTCTGCTCACTTCCCGCGGTAGGTTGAAAAAAGGAGGGATGCCAATGTTGACCAAAATTCATCAACCAACTGAGTTTAGTTCCTGACTTCAGCAGAGGGTTCTTCTCTTTTGGTTTGCAACCCTAACGATCGGGTTGAAAAAGGCGAACAAATCCACTCGTAAAATCCGCAAAAATTGAAAGTTTGGGGCACAAGCGATTTATTTTAGAGAACGAAAGAGGTAGAATATACAGTTTATCAAGACAAAACTACAAGAGCTGATAAATATTCATTTTTGCTTCGCATTGTTGCAATTTCTCCAACAAATAAGCACAATTGGGCTCAAATTATAATTGAAATACATGTTTTTCAAGGAATTCACCACCGCTGACGTGAAAATGTTGGCCATCATCGCTATTTCATTGCTGGCGGTTGCACACCGAACTCTGGGCTCTGATAGTCTTGAGGAGCTGATGAAAAAACACCCTACTTGGTCGGTGAGTTATCGGAGCTGAATGTCTTATAACCTGTTAGGTTGTTCAATTTTATCAGGGCTCTGGTTCATATTTTATGGAAAAAAGTTACCCGCGGCATGTTGAGAGACCGCCTCCAGGATTGTAGGCGTAAAATCCTGAAGGCGGTCTCTCAAAAATCCGCGGGAGAGACGTCTTATCTCGGCAAATTTTTGACCAAAAGAGCTCAACAATGTCTCATTTCATCGGTTTTTACTCCGTCCACACGAATTTTTATGAACCGTCTTTTTCTGCTTTTTCCGTTCGCCCTAAAAGTCGATTATTGCATTTTTTTTTTGGACAACCTATGTATCTTAACGACTTTAAAAAAATAATAAAATACACATAAATAATAAATTATTGTGTGAGATAGTGAATGAGGAGCGTTAATTTTATTTGAAATCATTTACTTTGAAAAAATCAGATAGAATACGAGTACGATTTTTCCGCGTTTCACAAGATTTTATGTAAAGTTTTTCCCCCAATTCATATCCGGAGATTAAGATAAAATGTTTCTAAAATAATCGTTACGTGCGTGACGTAAGTAGAGCTTAATATGGAGGTCGTTCTCTGAGTGAAAAGCCTCTATGCGTAATATCTGCCGACTCTTATACTAAGAACTACTCAGAAAGCTCTTAACCTGCGCTCTCAAATCATGAAAGAAAAATATATCAAGACCATGAAAGAGAGGATAAAGCTTGACACGGTGAAGTGTGTGGGCTTTACCTATAACTGGACTGAAACAATACATTAACCAAATAACGAAAGTCTCGCATTATTAACCAGAGAGACTTGACTGTCTGGCTATAATAGGGTGCTTCAAAAATGTTGTCACCAACTGTCTTATGAACGAATGAATGAAGCTAACCGAAATATATGTGTATTCTAGGAACAAAATCTATGAAAAAATCCCTCCATGTGTTACAAGATATTAGATTTTCCAAATCTACTCTTTGGATTAAGCACGTATTTTAAAATAGGATTAAATAAAAACACATGTTTTAAAGAGGATTTTTGAAATTTAATTTCAGTTTGAAGTGGAAAATATCGAAACATTCATCCAAAAATCTCTGAATGAGCATCCGCACAATTTGGGAGGAGGACTCGACCGCGGCTTAACGGAGAAAATCTTGCGAGAAAAGGTGAAAAGGAGTTTGGCTCCCGGCGCTACCCACATCGTGAGGAAGATCGGTGACCCCAAATGGGAGTCCGATCCTTTGAAAGTACCATCCTACTTCGATGCAAGAGAGAAGTGGAAGGATTGCGCCTCATTGATCGGTCACGCTGAAGACGAAGGTCCATGTCACACGGATACGGTAAGTCTTTATTCTATTGAAAAATATGAATAATTTAATTTTCTCAAAATGATAAAAAATTGAAATTAAGGTGATTCGATGGACACCATATTTTGTGTCAGAACAGCATGCGATATATCGCATCAATTGGTTCCATTTCCTCAGCTACTCGTCATTTTTCTCGACTTTTGAGATCGCAATTCTGTTGTCAGGAGACTGAAGCAATCACTTACCAATTTTAACAAAGAAATTCAACGTACTAAAGGCGTGGTTTTTTTTAGAGAGAAAGTATAGCTTTCGATACTGATATCGAAACTGCACTCGAATGCTATGTTTTCTCTCTTAAAAAACCGCGCCTTTATTACGTTGACTTTCTTTGTTAAAATTGGTAAATGAGTGCTTTAGCCTCCTGACAACAGAATTGCGATCTCAAAATTGGAGAAAAATGACGAGTAGCTGAAAAAATGGAACCAATTGATGCGATATATCGCATGCCGCTTTGACACCTTAATCGGCGTCCATCAAATCACCTGGGTCATATTACGGTCGTTCATAGAATAGGAATTACACTGCCGTGCAAAGGAAAAACGCTGAACCTTCAGGCGTTGCCAAATTTCCATTCTCAAAACACGAATTTCTTGGTAAACTTATTAATATTTTTCTTCCAATTTATCAGATAATGTTGTTTGCAATTTCACCTAAATTTCCTGAATATATCAGGGGGAAATATTCAATACTTTTATTAAAAATAAACATTTTATTGAGGGAAATTTGGCAACACTCGAATGTTCATACGGCGTTCTTCCTTAGCACGGCAGTACAGATCAGTATTTGTTTAATTGTAGAGTTTCATTCGAACAACACCATTTTGTAATGGATTTAATAAATAGAATCAAGGTAATATGGTTAAAATTCAATAATTACTAAAGTACCTTTCGGCTTACGCCATCATCAGAGCATTTGCAAAACTTGAAAGATGAGCATAATCAGAGTTCGAAATTGTTGAAAAAATAATCGTAAAAATTCCGAACTGAAATTATTTTTATAATATTTCAAGTTTTGTAAATGCTCTAATGATGACATGAGCCGAAAGGTACGCGGAAAGAAATTAAATGTTGATTTAGCATTTATACCTACTGTCAAAAAGATATCCGACAAGTTTCAAATCCTGATTTTACATTTTAACAAATGCTAACTTAACTACGCCCACTGCGAAACGTACAAATTAAAATGTTATGTTAGCCTATTTGTATTGTAAAATCAGCATTTGAAACTTGTCGGACATCTTTCTAACAGTATAAATGCTAAATCAACATTTAATTTTTTCCGTGTGCTTTAGTAATTATAAGATTTTAACCACAACACCTTTGTACTATTTATCACCTGCATTACTTGTATTTGTGTTGAGATTTTGTAATTTATTAATGCGTGTATGTAGTTGTGTTGTAATATGCTTTTTTAGTCCTGCCATATTTTTTTAAATTTTTTTTTTATTTTTGACATTTTTGTTTCATTACACAGCCTGCTGCGATTGCTGCAGTCATGTCAGATCGGTATTGCATATACACCAATGGCACCTTCAGAGACAGGCTGTCTCAAGAAACTCTCCTTGGCTGTGGTGAGTTATGCACCGCTGACCCATTCCAATATTACTCTTGGCTCTATGCAAAAGAGACTGGAATTCCAACCGGTGGACCACATGGTTCAAGCAAGGTTTGTTTCTAAATGCAATAGTACTCTTAAATCTAAGAAGCAAAAGATAGAGACAGAAAACCATCTTCCAAAATTGTGCTGTGCTATAATTTGAGGTAATGGGACGTTTTGGCGACCTAGAGGGTGTTTTGGAAACCACATCGATACTCTTTTTGGCTTCATGCCTGTTAAAGATTGGAACCTCGACAGGTAGACCGCATGAATTAGACAAAATTTGGTTCTCAATGCGATAGACTTAAATTCCTAACTCCAAAAATCAAGAGGTGTGTGCAGATAATCGTATATAAAATGTTTGCGCTGAATTATATCAGATGTGGGGTATAACTAGAAATAATTTATGGTTTGAAAGATGTTGCAAACACCATGAACCTCTGCTAATCAACACTCCCCACCCTGCTAGGGACTATTATTGCAAGATTGAAAGTCGCTCACTAAAAATTATTTCCGTGATTCCTCTACAACAAAACACAATTATGGTTTCGAAAATAAAATTAACAGAAAAAAAAAAACATTTGACGCTTCGTGTGATATGCACTCGCAACGGAGATTTAAAGCCAACACCTAACCTAACCTAGCATGTTGCGTATTTTATGAATGACCCCTTCCCTTAGGATGCGCCTTGATCGTATTGAGGCTAGTCTTGTCGCTTTTGATTGTCCGGTCGTGCGGTCACGACAGTTTCGACTCATTTAGATATGTTACATTTGGTGCTAAAGTGTCGACGAAATTTGGTCCCTAATATCAACTGTCCAACTTTGACTTTTCTCCATTCATGTAAAATCACACGACTGTTCCTTCAAATGGACGTATTTCTGAATGCCAAAAAGAACCAGAGACAGGTGGAAAAGAAGAGGGGTGCTCGTTAGCGGGGGCCGTAAGAATGAATGGGAATTTTTAAGCGCTGGTGACGTCAGCGGCGGCGACGGAGATGATCCGAGCTATCCGGGTCTTTAACTCATGAGCCTTGTCCACAACGCTCTTGTTACATGCCCATGGCTCATGGAATGTGCACGTAGTTCAGTTTGATAGAATGTAAAACCCCGCTTTTCTATTTCTCCAAAGGTAATCACGTCCACTTTTACATTGTTTTTTACACAGCTCACCACGAGTACACCCCATCTTTCCTACCCGCACATAGGTCTGTTTGGTAGAAATACGTCCAAATAACTATCTTAAAAATAGTAAAGATAATAAATTAGTGTTGAATTTATTCGTATTCCTTCATCATCCATGGAATTCACCGATGGGAAGGGCTGGATCTAAGACTAATCCATATTCTGCCAAATGCTTTTATTATTCCAGGGATGTATGCCTTACACATATGCTGGTTGCGATCATTCTTCGTGGTACACGGATAGCAAAGGCCTTGCCGGAAAGAATAAAATGAACGCATGCAAAGGGCAACTCATCTTTGACCACGATTGTCCCAAGAAATGCTCGAATCAGAAATACAAAACACCTATTGATAAAGATCGAAAAAAATGTGAGTATCAGTGAAATTCTATGTTCTGGGTTTCATAACGCATTGTGATTAATCGTAGATAAATAGCTCCTACAATTTGCGAATTGTTCACTTTGCAACTCTTTCACCATTCGTTTGCATTCTTACCCCTCCACCTTGCCTAAGTAAAAATGAATCAGCCTGACGCCAGGTTATGTCTCATAAACTACCCTGAGTCCGACTGATTCAGGCTGATGTCAGACTGAATCAGTCGAAGACTCAAGGTAGTTTATGATACATAACCTGACGTCAGGCTGACTCACTTTTACTAGGGTGGGACATTTCACAGAAGTTTGAAGTCTTAAGTCAAAAACTTCTAATTGTAAAGTTTCATTACCCGTTTCCACATGAGTAGCCGAAAATTATGGAAGATACGACCTTCTTCGGCAAAGTGTATTTTATTTTTCACAAGGCCTATAGTTACTGGTGACGGTTACCGATAATGGTGAGTTCCCATATTTAAGCCTGAATCAGGCAAAATGCGCCGTATGGTGGGAACTCAAACTGTTCAAAATACAACAAAAAAGCGTTTGGGTTAAAAAATATTGATTTTTAGTTTTCGATGCTGAAAACTCTGTAATATTCTCAAGACACGAGAACATCGGACCGATGATACAAGCCATGCTTTGCTTTTTAAATGTTGGCATGATCGTTGAAACCGAATCATTTCGGAGGTTGGCAACAGCAACGGCAAATTTCAACATAGTTTTTTTCGATCTCACCGTTTTTCTCCCCGAAAAAGGGTCATTCAAAATCGACCACGGTGAACAAAGTCAATTTGGAAAATTGTATTGTGTTCTTGCGGCAAATGGTGCAGGATTACCTAATAGCTGAGCTTGTGAACTGTGGTTATCTAATTTTTCCTGAACACTTAGCCACATTTTGTCTGATTTCATTACATTTTAATAACGCTTTGAAATTTCTGAGGGGACAGACTTCAGTACTGCATGGTTTGATCCTTGTTCCTTTTTTAATATAATGATGTGTATTTTTTTTCCATTCCTAAAAAATCTAGTGACAACGTTTTATATGACATCGAGGAATGAGTTTTGCATACGGAATGAGATCATGGCTTATGGATCGGTCCTGACGAGTGTTATCATGTACAATGATTTTTTGGAAAAGCCAGATGGTAAGTCTCCAAAGAACATCTTGCGATAAATATGCACCGAGTCCTGTGCTTAGTGTGCTTGATCACTAACGCCTTATTAAAAAACACTAGAAATCCCTTCATAAATTTTGAAATTGCTCGTCTGAAGGTCGCTGAACAGTCAGTGTCTCATTCTGACATCAGGTTCTTCAAATAATCCTCCCTTGAAATTAAGAAAACTATTGAAAGACAGGAAAGTTATAAAGCTTTTTCAAGGGGTTAAAAACCTTATTATTTTGTAAGGAATTTTATTTTCTAAACGATCTTTATAATGAAGTTTAAAATGTAAATTTTGGAGGGGGAGGGGGTCACTGACAAGTATACTTTGACACTGAGTTTGTGTCATTTATGCACCCTAATGTAAATACAATTAATAAACAAATAATAATATCACGATTGGTGTTCATGTTCAAAACAGGAATTTTCCAGAAAAAAACAGACAGGAAATTCCTGGCCTGGGACAAGTTCTTCAAAATCATTGGCTGGGGCGAGGAAAATGGAATCAAGTACTGGCTCTGCGTACATACATGGGACACCTGGGGTGACAAGGTGTTCAAAACGCCAAGAGGGGTCAATTATGATTGGATCGAGTTCATGCTGACCGCTGGTGTTTTTGATCCTCTTGGCTGAGGAAAGAAATCGCTATCGCCGCCATGAAAATTTACGAAAAATCTTCAATATCTGCGCCTTTCGTCAGCATTCAATGGAAAAAAAGTTGCTTGGATCTAGAGTCCAGTCTCTTAAAAACATTGATAAGAAAAAATACTCTTGATTTAATCGGGTTCTTGCTTAAATCAAAAGGAAACCCGCTTCAATCAAGATGCTTGACTCTTCAATTCAAGAACAAATCCGATTTAATTAAGGATATTGTTTCTCGTCAATGTTACTAAGAGTCTGGATTCTAGATCCAAGCGACTTTTTTCCAGTGTTATACTTCACGGCTGCAGTGACTTCATAGACAATCTACAACTTATTGAAAGATATTGCGTATCGAGGATTTGTCATTACTTATTTCTTTGAACTAAGATACCTCGTGAAATTTCTACTGGTTTATTATTTCAGTTTTGCACTGATTGTGAGAAAATATAATTGACAAAATTTTCAATTTCCTAGGAATTATTAATACCAGAGGACCTCTGTAATTTTCTTATCAACCCGCAAACCTTATTGTTTCATCTTTTAGTTTTTTTTTCTTTTTTTCTCAATACTCGAATACCCTGAGATACTCCGTTCACTGTCTTTGGTGAAAATAAAGGTGGTAAGGTAACTTTAGAGACAGTGCAATTACTGGAACTTCCTGGCTATTTATGAGAAAACTATAAATTTTCACAACACTTTTTTAGTTGATTGAAAATCTTCATATTGGTACCACTAAGTAAAAATAATAAGATAATAAAGGAAAAGTAGCATTGATACTTATTGTACATATTTTAGAAGAATGAAACATGTTACTATTTTTATGTTGGCTTAGGTACTCGTAGAATAATGAAACACGTAAAAATAGTATCACGGAACTTTTCCATTATCATTTAAGTATTTTTACTTTTTAGTTACCTATATGTTCCAACGTATTTGATACCATCTAAAGCCCGCGGCGGCGCGGCGGGCTGCCAGCGCGACACACGCATTGGCGCCTACAAACCTAACAGGGATACTTCACGCATTACGCAATGCGTGAAGTATCCCTGTTGGGTTTGTAGGCGCCCACGCACAAGTCTCGCTGGTCGCCTTCCCCCGCCGCACACTGTGCGGTATTCGACCCACTGAAAAAAAAACTCCGGCCGTGGGAGCCGCAATTACGGGCTATATAGACATACCGTCCGTTCCGGGCTCAAAGGCCGAAAATTCCGCCTGCTGAAGACGTAGCTTCGATTGCTCCGGGTTCAGAGGCCTAAGCTACGGCTCAAGCAGCCGGAATTTTCGGCCTTTGAGCCCGGAACGGACGGTATGTCTATATAGCCCATAATTGCGGCTCCCACGGCCGGAGTTTTTTTTTTCAGTGCCGGAAAGCTTGCCAAAACTATTTATGGCCAGAAATCGCTGAGTTTTAAGAATATTTTACAACTTGTACTTCTATTAAAGTGATAATATGCAAAATTTACCCAACAAACACATCATATGACAATTTGAGGAGAGTATAAAGAGGATGACGTTCCCAAAAACGAGGGTTCTAAAAGACGCAAAGTATGTGAGTAAAGCGGAGCATTTAGATTAGTTTCTCCTTGACCTACGGTCCACTCTTCGAATCAAGGACACTCTGTGACCCTCATTTGTGGCCAAAACAGCGCATGTCACTTCAAGATTTGTGGCGAAATATTCGAGCTCTCACATCGAGGAGTAATTGTACTATCCTCCAAATAATTAATATGAATCATTCTAGATATTTGATTTTTGACAGTTTTGATTCAAAATTAGTGTAAATATGAAGGTGCCGGGACTTTCATTTATGAAAACGTATTTAATGAATGGTCAAAACAACTATACTCATACTGATCGTTCAGGTTTCGATCCTCGGTCGAGGGTAAACTTTTTTATTACGGAAATTTCTTCATTTTATGCAATAGAGTTGATGAAGAGGGATCTTTGATTCCGCTAAAATGGAAATAGAGAATAAATAAGAGCTACGGAAAGATTTTTGCTCATGAATTTGACACGTATTGCTGCTCAAATCACTAAAAAAATTCGAGGGTAGTTATATACTCTGACAGCAGAAACTTAAAGTTCATAATAATGGAAAATTTAACTTTAATCATGTCCCTTTACAGTCTGCTAGCCAAGGAAAAATCGTAAAATTACGTTTACGAGGCCTCAAATTTGCCTTTCAGCGTAGTTCCATGGTGCCAGCGGGTCGATTATTGAAATTGATTGACAAAGCCATCGACATAGAAGACAAGATGGATATGGACTACTGGTAAAAGCGGGTGGCTGCAATGGACAAAGGGTTAGGTAATAGACTAACTTACGGCGACCCACGAGAGACCCTTCAGTTAGTCCATCACTTCCTCCCTTAGTACATAGGGACCACCCATTTCAACCAATAGGATCCCTCCATACTCCCTACGTCGACTTTGTCTATAGCTTTGTCTATCAATTTCAATAATCGGCCCGCAGAGAGATACTTTGAAGCTCCATCCGACGGCCGCGTGGACTCTTTGTCTATCGAGGTAAAACATGGCATAAATATGTCTGTACTCCAGGATAATGCAAGAAGAAATTACTACATAACGGATTACACACTTTTGCGTGACTCTAAAGAACCTCTTCTATCCGCTTTCAAATTTTTTTTTTTTCCACTCTTGGGAGGGGGGGGGGAGGGGCCAGAGAAACGGGTGGTGATCAAGTATCACCCAATTTGTTACAAAATGGGTCAGAACTGAGGGGAAAATACCATTCCGGTCGTTAGTATCAACATAATTTTACTCATTCGTGTTTGTGAAAATCCCTCAAAAATTCAATCCTACAGGTCGAAGATTATAATTTCCTCAGTTTTCGGCAGTCCGTCACCCCTGGATCCTGAAAATACCCACTTTAGACTACAACATTTCGCCCTAAACCGCTTGAGGACAGTTGAGGCCAAAAGGAAATGGGCCTCTGAATTTCGAAAAAAAAAAAAAAAAAA